AGAAAACATTACTTTCTTCAAAAGGAAGGAGCTAAGTTGATAAGAAAAGGAAGTAGCAGAGAATCCCTATTTACGGCTACACAGGCAAGATTCCAGGATCAGGTGTCAAAAAGAGGAAATAATAAAAATATCATCTCCATATTTGGTATTTTCAACATTTTCTTAAAGATGCGCTTAGTCCTCAAGTGAGAGGCATGTAAAAYCACATCAGCTAATACATAGACCAGAGTCCAATGAAAGAAAAATATCAAAGAAACAATTTTCTAAGGATGGCCTTCACGAAGGCCATCAAACTCCAGACGAACCCAAGTTCAGCAGTGTGGAAGCACGCTGTGCAGCACCAGCCYGACGGAACAAAGCGGCCGCCGCCACCAGTGCCCGCAGCTGCGGAGCGCCCAGGTGCGGGAGCCCCCGCGGCCGCGCAGGGGCAGCGCTGCAAACGCCCTCCGAGTCCTCAGCACGGCCACTGCTTTGGGCTGTTTTTCCACTGTAAACACTATAAAAACTGCTATGCGAGTTAAACAGCTTAAGAAATCTAATTAGGCAAACTCYACTAGTCCAGCCCCTCAGTCTGGGCTGATGATTCAGTTCCAGTCCCTGCCACAGTGCACAAGCAGGACAGCTGGGCATCAAATTGGATCCATCCAACTTGGAATCAGTGCCTTAACAGCTAAAGGAACTGCACTTTAAATAGTGGGCTTCATCAGCAAAGGCCTAAAGCAGTTTCCCAGCTACAAACACTGTCAAGTTACTGGGTTTTGCACTGACAGCAATAAAAGGCTGAATGTTCAAATAAAACAAAGTTCCTTGTTTGGCTCAAGTATGCACTATGGGATTAAAGAGTAAATTGCAAAGCACAAGCTATTCTTAACAGAATTACAGCACTTTCCATAAGTCTGCTATGGCAGAAACAAAGAGACAGTCARACATACAAAAGACCTACACAGTCTTAAGAAACCCATTCCCCTACCCCCAAATAATCTCTGCATCCAGCCAAAAGCGTCTGCAGAGGTTCCTTAGCATCCGAAATGCGACCGCACAATGTTTTTAGGTACTCACTTTCCTGAATTCAGTGCTCAAGCAAAGAACAAACAAATTAGAAGGAAAGTTTGACTAAAGTCCTGAGAAGGCTTTTCTCCCTGAAACCAGGGCAACGTTAACTTCTTCTCACAGCACAGGCCAAGAGCTGATTAACTACAAGTTTTTCTTGTTGAAAGTGGGATTTGTGCTATTCAGGCATCATTTGCTTCTGCCACAAAATCACATGTCCAAAAGAAATGAAAATTAGATAAGACAACATATGCTTTAATTCATATTTATTTTCTAGAAAGATGTAGATTGCTTGGCTGAAAACAAACCTAGTTCTAGTAAGAAGTTCTTGGACCTGTTTAATACATYTCACTACTCTATTAGGATTTTGGCAGCAAACATCCCTAAGCACTTTCAACAGGTAATTAGCTCCCTTCTACCCAAGTCCTCAGTTTTAATCATTATTTAAAACAGCGGGAATCAAGCAACTAAAATGATACGGATCAAATCATACCTTAAAGTGAGAGCCAATTAGAGTTTGTCCTTACACATTATTCCAAAAGGCACCGCAATTAGCCAATTTATTTTAATAACACTGCAAAACAGTTGAGGATAAAAATACCTCAAACCATTTAATTACTTGACTTTCAGTGATGCTAAAAGCCTAATGCTGAATTAAAAGCTGTATAATCCAATATAACCTGTAAATAATGCAAGATGCAGGGTTTTTTGGKTTTTTTTTTTCCTTTTTTCTTTTWAATAGAGGACAGGGTAACTGCCCATAAAGAAGAATGTAATTAGAAACATGGTGCAAACGTTGCCACTTGCAGTTTTCAGAAGCTCAATGTCGCTCTGAAGCGGGGCCCAGGCTGGGAGCTGCTTGCAGGCGCAGGCGGGCACAGGCCGCGCGGGGCAGCGAGGCGCAGCCAGGCTGGTACCCAGCACGTGGCAGGGCCACCCCTCCGCCCCGGCTGGACACGGCCCTCGCTGGCTCCTGCAACTGCCAGCCATGGGAAGCAAAAAGCCAGGGATGGCACCAATCCAGGTGTTTCGGAAGGGAAAGCAGAGATGTATAGGGACACCAAAAGGCAGGGATGGTGAGAGTCTGGTGTAAATAGGAAAAGGAAGAAATAGGAAAGGCGTTTTAGATGAAAAGGTCATGGKCAGCAGTAGGGAGCGTGGTCATATTTTTACCTGTACACATGAAACTACTACGTCCTCCAAATACAAGATCCAGCAGCACCTATTATCAACACGCTTCCCTTTTGAATCAAAAAAACTGCAAAAAATCCCAAACAGCTACACATCTTGCAATTAAGACTACAATTAAAACTTGCGTCCAAATAGTGATTTGAGTAAAGCATTTTTCAATCAGCCATACCAGCGGGAGTTTTTAGCTTCTGTCACTAACTACTGAAGTTACCAAAATCTGATGTTGATGAATCTTGCCTCAAAGATTCCTGTATAAATACTCYGTGTAATTCAACTTAGCAGTGCCTCAGCCTGCCCTCACCCACAGTGAGGGACCACCACCAGAACTAGATACTTGCTGRGATGTCCAAAAACTGCAGTGCTTTCAGAAGGAGGGGAAGCAGGGAGAAGATTTTGCACCTAATGAACATGGTTTTGCCTTTGGACTCCACAATTCCAAATACTATAAACCTGCTGAAAAGCAGCAAAAGCAACACAGGAATTTCCATCTAAGCTTCTTAAATTTGCTCCAACTGCCTCTACAAACTGCTTCCATGTTCTGGTAGAAGTGAGACCTATTAAGCAGCATTTCCCTCCAGTGGGTCTGGCTCCGTCCCAGTCTGTGGAAAGGGAGCCCATTCAGACAAAAAGGTGAAGAGCTTAAAAAAACATTTCCCAGCACAAAAGATCTCCCAGGCAGATCTTCCACAAACGTTGTCTGACAGGGAAAAATCTATCCCCTCCCATTTGGTCCCAGGCTATAAGGCCCTTTCCTAGGTGAAAACTTATTATTATCTGAACAGACACAGAAGAATATTGCCACCATCAATCTATTTTCTAAACACAAAATGATATCACACAAATATGTTTTAAGACAAAAAAATGATCAGAATAATATAAAACTGCAGAAGTATCTTGGTTCTTCTTGACACTCACAATTCAGGAACGATCTCCTCAAAGCATGCCTAATATAAGAAATGACAGGCCTTCACAAGGAGCTTAACAAGTTCCTGTGATAAACTATTTTTAACAATATAGAGAAAAAATAAATATATTGTTAAAAAAATCAAAAGAACTGCCAACAGCAAAGAGTTTCTGAAGGAAGTTGACAAATGCTGCAAGAGGGGGGAGCAGCTATTAACTCCCTTTTGGTGCTTAAAAAAATATCATCTCTATCCTCCAAAAATGCTAAATTAAAACATTTTTATATATTACATATATTTAAACAAAAAAAATCACATGCAGAGAAAAGATTTAGTCTGGTAACTCAGTGTGGTTATAAATATCTGCTAAAAAGCCAATTCTAGGGTCTCTTAGGCCTCAGCCCAAAGGCAGTTTCTTTCACCTGTACTATCCAAGACCTGTTCTGTGGCCAAAGACTGAAGAGCATTCTCTGCCCTGAGATAGCCCTAATCTTCTTCTCTCTTTTCAAGCTGGGGGACAAAAAAAAAAAGAAAAAAAGAAAAGAGAAGAAAAACACACTAATGAGCTGCCGAAGGAGGAGGTGACTCACCTGTTGGAGAGCATAGAATAAAAGAACAGAGGAGGAAGGTTAAAGTGCTCCAAATCTGCCAAAATTGCTAAGTTGTGGATATCAAGAGACAATGGAACTCGTAGGGGAATGAAAGCTAGCTATATTTTTGAGAAGTAATGATACTATGGCAACATTTTTCACTGGAATATGGTGTTGTGGTACCCTAGCAATAGCCCTCTTGATGCTACGTTAAAGAAAGTCCTGGGAAAGCAAATAGCATCAACTGACTGACCTGGCCTAAACTGAATTAAGTTTTTACACTTTCTCAGGGTACTGGAATAGATTTTTTTTTGTTTTTGATTTAAAATCTAATGTAATACCAGGTACTTGCTCTAAAGAACATGCCTGCAAATAAAACAAGTAAGGCAAAAGAAAATGTTTTGCCAACCCTTAAACTGTCTGCTAAATGCATGCTTTGGCTTATCCATATATATCAAAACAAACAAAAAAAATTGGTAAGTACTTGCTTTACCTTCCTTTCAAATAACATTGAGCCCAAAGGAAACTTTTCCATCCTCCCCCAGAGGATCTTGGTTCCTTATCCATACTTAAAATAATTCAGTTTTATTATTTAATCTTTATGCAAGTATATCAGAAATACTTGCACAAATAATTCAGTCGCTGCCTTGTAAAACCCCAGGTTTTGCCTTTCTGCAGTAAGTCAGTTCAAACTTCAGTTTTTGAATTTCTTTTAACCAGGCAAAACTTGCTTTAACATTAAAGAGGATAAGCAAGGAGATTGCAGCCTCACTGAACTTCAGGGGTGTTTTGAATGTAAATATTGAGAGATCAGCTTGGAGAAAGGAAAAACATAAGGAAAGAGAAGGAGATGTCAAATATGTTTATTTCTCAAAACAACCACCTACCCAAAGGAACAAAAAAGGTGATTTTGATCAGTGATATCACAAATAAGAACTACCAGTTCCTGAGCAGCATGGTAACTGAAACACAGTAACTTTGGCTCAAAGTGCTTTGGATCAACAACTTGGATAGACTCGAGGGTGGACTTCATGACAAGGGGGCTCATGAATAGGGGAAAAGGGCACAAGCAGTTGTTCTCTCTACCTCATCCCCTGCAAGGGGCTCCAAACTTTGGTTTTTTGACTTACTAAAAAGACTTGAATAAAGATTTGGACTTGAATCATTCATTCGACCGACTTAAAGGGGGAAAAAAATCCCTTAACTGGAAAAAAATGCACGATCCTTTACTGTAAAGTAGTGAACAGCAACAGTTAGAGGAGCTTACCCTTTTGCATTCAAATTTCTTGCCAAGGAAGAGAGCAGGCACTTGTTCGCATGTAGTATAAATCACTCATTTGTCAGTATTTGCGAATTTCTGTCCCTGCTGCTTTATACTTTCTCATGTACTAGAACAAAAAAGAAACACAACATTAGTTGTGCACTGATGTTTAAGACAAATTTTTCTCATTTACAAATTCTAATATAAACAGCTTAATTGAAATACACTTCACACTAGACCTTTTCAACYAATTGCAAGCTTTCCAACAGAATTCTGCCTAAAAAGCTGGAAGCAACATAACCTCATCTCCCAATAGGAAATCAGATTCCAAGTAATTCCCTGTAGCTCCCTGCTCCCAATATGCCCTATACCAACAAAAAGACCATTTAACACACAGAACAATGAATCATTTATTATTTGAGTTCCACTAAACATGAGATGTGTAAAGGCATGCAGCATTAGTCCCAAATCTTCCCCCTTTAGGAAAAGTTGATTAGTATCCCACCATAACTAAAAAAAAATAAAATAATAAAATGAAAAAATAAAAAAAACTGCCCTGATCAAGGTTAGGATCAATGTTAGCCTGGATAAATTGAATCCTATTGGTTTCAACATAAGGAAGGTCAGGCCAACTCTCCAATAGAAAAAGGATCYAAAGAGAATGGTCCTTGCTCCCCGTTCCTTATTTTACGAGGGGAACATGTGATATTGCTGCTCCTAAGTAGCTAGCAGATATTCTGCATGTCAAGATACTTAAAGATGATTTTCCAACAGTACTATCCTCTTTGCTGAACATTTGGGTAAGCCATACAAATTTAATCCTTGATGTTTCTGATAATTCATTCCAAGATGTTTCATTTTACTGTTCCCTTCAGTTCTCTTGAATATGTTCACAATCTTCAGGTATTGAGATAAAGACCTTGATACAATAGAACTGTTACCTAATCAGCAATAGAAAACTATTTCCTTGATCTCTTAAGTGATGACTAACTTATRTAGATATTTTCTTTGTTTCTCTACTTCATTCCCGTCTGACATGCAAAATCGGTTTGCTTTTTTCCCTAGTAAAAAAATAGTCTTATTATGCAGTCCTTCCATCTTGTACTGTTTCCCTTGTTCATTGTCCAACTTTTTATTAGTTCTCAACTGATTTTCCATCTAGTCCAATCCAATTGCATGCTTTCTTTTTTCTTGGTGGTAATCAAAACCAGACTAAAGACAGATGCATTTAGCACCTTGTCTGAGCAGTCCCTTAAGTTTGATTTATGATTTACATTTTTTTTTATAGCCAGTGTGTTCAAGACCTGATGTAACACAATTCATTTTTCAATTACAACATGGAGAAGTGCAAATATCAAAGCCAAGAACTACTGCAAACACCGTAATAACAATAATTATGGCCTGATTCTTACTCAAGTATAATGAATTAAGGATAGACAATGAATAAATAGGACACACACAATACTACAGAAAACACAACTGTTGCATAATATAACTCGAGAGCATCGTCCATTTTCACCTTTCCTCAGCTTCCCCTTTCCAGAAGGTTTCGCTAACATCTACTAAGCCTGCAAAGACTTTACTCTATCCTGCTTACAGGATAGAGTAATATTACTATCCTATTAGATATTAGATACATTAGTATCTAAGAGTAAAGGATACTTACAGTACTCTTTAGTTGATATTGCCAGCCACAGCTATGACAASTTATTTTGATTCTGCACAATTTCTGGGAATGCTTCAGAAGTGCTCAGGACAGATCTACTTTTGTTATTGCCCTATTCTTTGCAGCYTTGAGGAAAATACATTACAAACCTAGACACACCTGAATTGTTTTAGCCTGGAGACATCCTAAGAAATTGTCTGCACATCATCTGCTGGGATTCTCTGCTTCCAAAGAAATAGCATGTCTCTCGCTCGTTCCCATTGCCAGAGGTGACCTACTAGAGGCGCCTTCCAGTCAAATTCACACTGACCAGGGTCAGAGCAGAGCAACCAGCATGGCACAAGTTACAAGGACAGGGCAATTCTCAGCCAAACGATTCAGAGATGCAATAGAAACTTAAAGCAGTTCTCCAGTTGCATTCAAAGCACAGACATCACAGAAATCATACAGAGAAGTTCTTAAAATGGAATTATCAGAGCAAGCCCTGCAAGCCCCTTTGCTGAGCTCTGTTCTCATACAGAAGCCACCAATTTGCACAACGGCAGCAACAGCAGCTCTTAGGCTGTTAATACCTGGTAAAGCAGTATCTGTAACATTAAGTAACACCTCATTTAATCTAATACATATTATAATATCACTAAAATATTTGTATACACAAGACAAAAATCAAAATGAAAAATGAAAAAGAAAATTTACACATATTAAAGATTTAGCGATCATGAACAGACAGTACTAGGCACAAAATATAACACATCGGAAGGAAAGCAGACATAGGACAAACCCGGCTATGAGAATTCAGTCTAATCCTAGTGTATAGTAGAAGCTCTCCCTAAATACTCCATTTTTAGTCAGGGTTCAGGAGATAGAAGACAACTCTTTGTAATCATAGCTTAAAAGAGGCCATGCCAATTTTCAAAGGTGAGATAAGCATTTTAGGCAAGGCATAAAACTTGTTCAAGGAACTCTATTCTGGACATCACTTCAGGGCAATACGTTCCAGTTCATTTAAACTCTGCTCTTCAAAAGCTCCTGCAAGAACAGCCATGCTTGCTCTTCATGGCCAGGTGCACCCACCTGATGTAAATAATGCTTATAATCCTGACTGTATGGTAACAGGAAGAAATGAAACATCGAACACATAAAAAAATCCCAAACCCATAGCTGATAATTGGAAGACTGTCTCCAAAGCCTTGCTCCCCATTTAGGATAAATTACTCCTAAAATATCCCCCTCTGACTGCACCTACCTCTTTCCATCTTCCTTCTTCAGTTCATACACACACCCCTAGTTTCATCCTTATTGCAACAACTCCCAGTGATTAATACTTCATCCTCTAAGTTACTTCATATCTTCTTTTGCAGAGCCCAGAAAAATAGTTCTTATACACATTGCAACCCAACACCTACATAAAGAAAATGCCTATTACRTACACATGGCTAAAATATTAATGTCTCAAGACTCTGGTATCTATGTACTTTGTATTGTAATGGGCTTTACTTTTATATTCAAACACTGATGGCCAAAGATAAAGTAACTTATTTCAAACGTTTTTTCTTGATTTTATTTAAAAAATAGATCCATCGTTAAAGTGCAAAAGCCTGGAGCAAATTCTGAGATGGGTGCCAGAAGAGGGAGAAGGCAAAGATGAAGGGTCTACAAGAATTAAAACCACTCTGCAATACAAATGTTGCATGAGCACCACCAAATAAGGAGACACCTGATTTATTTTTTTCTCAATTTCTTCACAGTTTGGAAGTAGCTSTGACAGGAATTAGGTAATAGCAGCTGTTTTTCAAGTAGAAAAAAATAATCCCTTGAGGAGTAAGAGTCATCTAAATAACTTGTGGTCTACACAACTTCAAAAAAAAAAAAAGCTTTCACAACCAATAGGGCAGCACGAGTTTCTAGGGAAATAAAGAGCAGACCAATACGAAACAAAAAAAACACCCAAATTCCAACAAGGTGCTTCTCTTAAGCTTAGTTCAGGGAACAGGATGCTCCTTGAGTCTTTCTGATGGAAAGACAGCTCCTCTTTGAGTTCAAAGATCACCTTCTCCTTTGTACAACAAAGGGACTGTGGGAAAGGTTTAAATTTTTYAGATTAAACACTTTATATTAGATAAAATAGTTAAGAATGTGTGATGCAAAGCTGAAACTAAAGGTATAGGCAGTTTTAAGCAGAAGAAACATTAAAATAGAACACAGCTTAAATCCTCTATATGGAAAAAAAGTCATTCTAGGGATACCTGCAAAGTCTACGAGATGACAGAACCAAGCAACATACACTGCCCCATAAAAAGGTGCAATAAATACTTGTATCCTAATTTAATTTACAACCATTAGTGTATCTCCAACAAGAAGCAAGGAACATCTTATGACTGCAGAGAAATTCCGAAACAAAACAAGAACCCCACCACACTACACTGAGAAGCAGCAGAGGCAAACTGAAGAAATACAATCTATCCAAAATCCTCCTTAGACTGTTTGGTTTCTTCAGAGGCAGCAAGGCCAGTTATAGGACTCTCTCTCTCAAGAGGACAATGTTAGTATGTTAAGTAAATAAGGAAGGATAGAAAGGAGTTTTCTAGTCTGCCAAGCTGCCATACTTACAGATTTGTCTGGTTATAGCTACATTCACAGCTAGCAAAGTTCCTTGATTATTCACTCCTCAATACTGTGGAGTTTTTTTTTAGAATTTACTACAGTCTAACCCACAATCCATGAAAGCAAATTATTTGGAAATAGCAAACATAACAGTTTCATCACGTGCCTCCCTCCCCCTTTTTTTAAATGGGAATTCTGTTTCTATTTTCAAAAAACATTCATGGCAGAGGCAATCCCACCTTGATCCTCACAGCCCTTCTTTGATATTTCCAATTTCAGACTTGCAGGTGAGTCACTGACACAGAGAAAGACTAAGCTGATGCTTCTCAGCAAGCGCTTCTTTATTATAATAGTTTCATCATTTAAAGTGTTAGAAAAACTAAACTGATTGAAATCAATGTCTGCTCCTCCACACCGCCCAAAGTCAGGCAGAAAGTATTCACACAAATAGAAGTAGGCAGCTGGAAACACTGACCTTGGGGCAAATTCTCTATTTCTGGTACTGATTATAAACAAGAAAAATTAGAACTCAAGCTCTGTAAACTTGTGATGTGCTCATCTCAAAATGACTTAAGGAAGACTTAGATAACCCTGTTCTTTACTGCTGTTTGGATGGCAATTTTTATTTAAATGCCCATTACTCATTTGGGAATAGTTTTAAAGAGGGTTCTTTGTATTTTTGATTTACAATAAACCATTTAAATAAGGCTAGGTTACAAAAGACAACGTGCCTAAATTGGTGTGGCCTAACACAGGATAAGCTGAGCATCACAGTCCCTGAAATCCTAATTGGTGGTTTAATCTCTGCACAACATTATATAAAAAAAAGAATCAACCTAACAGTATTATCAACTCTG